TCTCCAGAGTATATCCATATGGCCAATAAGAATATGAAAAAGGTGCTTAACCTCATTAGTCATCAGGGAAACGCAAGTTAAAATATCAGTAAGAGTGTATTTTCCTTTTACTGATTCTTCACTCAGGGACATCCCTACAATATTTACTGTTGTTTTACTTAGAGTCAGACAAAACCATCACATTCAGACTTCCATCATTTACTTACTGAGTGAACTTGGTTGTCAACTTTCCTGAGCCATAGTTTCCTCATCTATAAAAACAGTTCATTCATTTACTAAGAAATATTTACTGAATGCCTACTATGTCAGGAATTGCTATAGGCTCTGGCAACAAAATAGTAAGCAAAACAGATAAAATTCCTGAGCTTGTGATGCTTGTATTCTAGTGGTGATAATACCCATCTCATGGAATTATTAAGAAGATTGGATGTTAGTGTAATTAAAAGTGTTTTGTGAGTTGCAAAGTACTACATAAACCCAAGATTCTTGAATGTACTGTATTTTTATTCAATTAACATTTGCATTATATGTTATTTGTGAAAAATTCCATGACTGCCTTATTCCTCTATCCCCAGGGGACTGGAAGAGATCCATATTTCTGCCCATTCCCAAGAAAAGTGATCCAACAGAATGCAGAAATTATTGAACAATATCATTAATATCACAAATGCAAGTAACATTTTGCTAAAGATAATTCAAAAACAGTTGCATCGACAGAGAACTGCCAGAAATTCAAGTCAGATTCAGAAGAGGACGGGGAACAAGGGATATCATGGCTGATGTCAGATGATCTTCACTGAAAGTAGAGAATACCAGAAAGATGTTTCTGTGTTTTATCGACTATGCAAAGCATTTGACTGTGTGGATCACAACAAATTATGGATAACATTGCAAAGAATGGGAATTCCAGAACACTTAATTGTGTTCATAGACCAAGAGGCAGTCGTTTAAACTGAACAAGGGGATACTGGGTGGCTTAAAGTTAAGAAAGGTGTTCCTCAGGGTTGTATCCTTTCATCATATGTATTCAATCTGTATGCTGAGCAAGTAATCTGAGAAACTGGACTATATGAAGAAGAATGTGGCAGCAGGATTGGAGAAGACTCATTAATAACCTGTGATATGCAGATGACGTAACCTTGCTTGCTGAAAGTGAAGAGGACTTGAAGCACTTACTGATGAAGATCAAAGACCACAGCCTTCCGTATGGATTACACCTCAACATAAAGGAAACAAAAATCCTTACAACTGGACAAATAAGCAACGTGATAAACAGAGAAAAGATTGAAGTTGTCAAGGATTTCATTTTACTTGGATTCACAATCAACACCCATGGAAGCAGCAGTCAAAGAATCAAACAAGGTATTGCTTTAGGCAAATCTGCTGCAAAAGATGTCTTTAAAGTGTTAAAAAGCAAAGATGTCACTTGGAGGACTAAGGTGTACCTGACTCAGACCATATTTTCAGTCTCCTCATATGCATACAAAAGCTGGACAATGAATAAGGAGGACTGAAGAATTCATGCCTTTAAATTATGGTGCTGGTGAAGAACACTGAATATACCATGGATTGTCAGAAGAATGAACAAATTTATCTCAGTAGTCAGATTATGTCCTTACAAGCGATGATGGCAAGACTTCGTCTCACGTACTTTGGACATATTATCAGGAGGGACCAGTCCCTGTAGAAGGATATCATGCCTGGTAAAGTGAGGGTCAGTGAAAAAGAGGAAGATCCTTGATGAGATGGATTGACACAGTGGCTGCAACAATGGGCTCAAACAGCAATGACTGTGGGGATGCACAGGACAGGGCAGCGTTTCTTTCTGTTGTGCATGAGTTGGAACTGACTGGATGGCACCTAACAAGAACAACAACATGGTATTCTATTTTATGGCTACGCTATTATTAATAGTATGATATGATAAACACCATTAAAGCTAATTATTTGCATGATTATTATTCCTTCAAGTTTTATTGTTTGTTCTTCTGCAAGTACAGCATATTTATAGGAAAACAGCTTAAATTTAACAAAATTTGTATCTGTAATTTGGATTTACTGGCAATTGTTTTAATAGTTTCCTCAAAACTTCATAAAGTGAATTTAAGTTTAAAAATCTGACATTCACAAATGGTTACGAAAATACAATAAGAATTTTATCTAAGTGGTGTTTTTCTGTTTCTTTTTGGAAAAAGATCACAGGAAATACATATTGTGTTAAATGCTTTCCATAATTGCTCTGGTCATTAATAAAGGAAAAAGATGGTAATTTAAGAAGATTCTGACTATACCAAAGTATGAAATTAAAACAGGATTATAGGAATTGGTGATGCTTACTACTAGTAGCCTTCTGTGAACACAATGCTTATGTGATCTAACCTACTTTAATAGCCAATAAACTACTTCTATTATCTCAGACATTATTATGTATGAGGCTGTACTTACTGGGACAGACTTCTAGCAGAGATAGCAATTTGGGGGACAAATACTGTTTATTAATGGCAAGGCTTTATAACCTCTTGGGAGCTGTGAAGTAAGTTCCATAAGTATAAAAATGACACTTAAATAGCAATTGAATTAAAACTATTCTCAAATTATGAATGCTTCAGATATGCAAGGGAATGATTTCGCACATGAACCAAGTGATCCGAATGTATTCAGAATACACAAAAATGCAAACTGAGAACCTGACATATATGTTCAAATTTTAATCCTTGAGAAAAAAGTTAAAATCTGATACAAATATTGCTGGCATAAGAGAAGAACATATATAAATTTGGATTCAAGAGGAGTCAGTATGTGAACCAAGATGTAAGAATATATTACAACAACCTGTTATTGAAGCCTTTTATAGAATTAACAGAATTTAAATCACACGAAGGTAAGATTGCAGAAAGAACAATAATTTTTTCCTCAAAAAAATCCCCTTATCTATTCAAAATTGTAAACTCAGTGTGGAGAATGAAATTAGAGGTCATTTAATTTACCAGGGTATTTTGAATATATAAGCCTTAAATGCTTACTCTCAGCTCAGTGTAAAAATAATCAGCATTTCATTTTCCTCTCAAGATTAATTTGATATATTAGTCACATAAGTATTACAGCAAATAAAACTAAAAATTTATTTCACTCTTTTTTGAAACCACATATTTTTTCTACCAGGTACTTCAGTAATTAAAATACTCATTTAATCAAATGCCAAAAACCAAAGTCTTATATTATTAAGGAATGAAAACTTCCTTCCAACTTCAGTAATGTAAATGCTGTTTTAAAAATTGTAAAAATGATTAGAAACACTAGCTATTTAAGAGCATTTAAATATATTTTAAAGGGAATTTAATTGTCTTTTGGCATTGCTTATACAAATAAAACCTTTATTTTGAACGAGTAAGTTATATATACATATTCATTCAATACGAATATAGTTGGAGAAATCCCCTACTGTGGAAGAACAGACCTATTTATAAATTGACTTCCCATTTTTCAAAAAACAATTCTTTGGTTAATTCTGGACTTTGTGCC